GGCCCAGATCCGGGCCACATCTGGTAGATGTGGAATCCACGTGTTCCAGCACTGCATTTGTGATGTGGAGCGCCTGCGTACGAGTCCTGTGAAACACGAGTCATGATAAAAGAGCTCGAAGACTTGTAGAAGCAAGCTAAAACGGCATAGTTGCTTGAACAAACGCGTTTTGATCTCACGTTTGCTTTTAACATTATCGGTTAGGTTAAGTGTGTGTGGTAGATTATTAAGTGAGTGTGGTAGATTGTTACTGGCTATTTAAATCTAGCGGGTTTGATGTCTCGCAAATACAATGACGCTGGTAGTGACGATTCTGTCTGACCAATCAGTGATCTGCAGTGTGTTCACGTCACATTTTAGTATCGGTACGATACGCTTGGAACCTCAACAGAGGTGGTACCATTTAAACCGAGCCGAAGCGAGCCGTACCGTACCATGCAGTGGAAAAGCGCCACAAGTGAGCCGTGCTGTACCGTACCATGCAGTGGAAAAGCACCACAAGTGAGCCGTGCCGTACCGTACCATGCAGTGGAAAAGCGCCACAAGTGAGCCGTGCCGTACCGTACCATGGAGTGGAAAAGCGCCACAAGTGAGCCGTGCCGTACCGTACCATGCAGTGGAAAAGCGCCACAAGTGAGCCGTACCGTACCGTACCATGCAGTGGAAAAGCGCCACAAGTGAGCCGTGCCGTACCGTACCATGCAGTGGAAAAGCGCCACAAGTGAGCCGTACCGTACCGTACCATGCAGTGGAAAATCGCCACAAGTGAGCCGTACCGTACCGTACCATGCAGTGGAAAAGCGCCACAAGTGAGCCGTACCGTACCGTACCATGCAGTGGAAAAGCGCCACAAGTGAGCCGTACCGTACCGTACCATGCAGTGGAAAATCGCCACAAGTGAGCCGTGCCGTACCGTACCATGCAGTGGAAAATCACCACAAGTGAGCCGTGCCGTACCGTACCATGCAGTGGAAAATCACCACAAGTGAGCCGTGCTGTACCGTACCATGCAGTGGAAAAGCGCCACAAGTGAGCCGTACCGTACCGTACCATGCAGTGGAAAAGCGCCACAAGTGAGCCGTCCCGTACCGTTCCATGCAGTGGAAAAGCGCCACAAGTGAGCCGTGCTGTACCGCACCATGCAGTGGAAAAGCGCCACAAGTGAGCCGTACCGTACCGTACCATGCAGTGGAAAATCGCCACAAGTGAGCCGTGCCGTACCGTACCATGCAGTGGAAAATCACCACAAGTGAGCCGTGCCGTACCGTACCATGCAGTGGAAAATCGCCACAAGTGAGCCGTGCCGTACCGTACCATGCAGTGGAAAAGCGCCACAAGTGAGCCGTGCCGTACCGTACCATGCAGTGGAAAAGCGCCACAAGTGAGCCGTGCCGTACCGTACCGTGCAGTGGAAAAGCGCCACAAGTGAGCCGTACCGTATTGTACCGTGCAGTGGAAAAGCGCCACAAGTGAGCCGTACCGTGCCATGCAGTGGAAAAGCGCCACAAGTGAGCCGTGCCGTACTGTACCATGCAGTGGAAAAGCGCCACAAGTGAGCCGTACTGTACCGTACCATGCAGTGGAAAATCGCCACAAGTGAGCCGTGCCGTACCGTACCATGCAGTGGAAAATCACCACAAGTGAGCCGTGCCGTACCGTACCATGCAGTGGAAAAGCGCCACAAGTGAGCCGTACCGTACCGTACCATGCAGTGGAAAAGCGCCATAAGTGAGCCTTGCCGTACCGTACCATGCAGTGGAAAAGCGCCATAAGTGAGCCGTGCCGTACCGTACCATGCAGTGGAAAAGCGCCAAAGCGTGCCGTATCAAACCATGCCGTGGAAAAGCATAAGTTGCTGTCTGGGACAACAGTAATAAAAACTTACCAGATTCACGTTAATCAGTTTTGGTTAAAACTCAAACATGCTTTTAGTGACACTCTCTAGACATTTCATCATGCAGAAATATTGCTATTTTTCCAATGAGCCTGGGTCGGCATATCCGTATGCAGCTATATTGTAACTATTCGTAACTGATCCTGACCATGTGGATTTTTGCCTCTATGTTGTACTGAGTGCTTCTCTGGTGCTCTTGAGCCATTAGGTGTTCCACTATCTGCTCATGCAGCACCTATCAATGGGAAGTGCCATTGTTATGCAAATCAAGAGCTAAAATTGAGTGGGAGCTAAGCCTACTCATATCTCTCTTTGCGCTCTCTTTCACTTACTCTCTCTCAAGATGAACGTTGCATAGTATGTGTAAATTTAGCATAATATTCTGTTGCACTGAGACCCTCAAGAACCTGCTGTGTAATCTCTCTACAACACTCTTAGGCTGTACATCACTTCCTTTCTGTCACTGCTTCTCTTATACTGCTCAGACATCATAAAGCAGCCACCGTAAGGGGTAAAGAGACAAACGCCGGCTCATTTAACAGCCCCCTTACAGCTGTTTAACTCACTATGATGTTCTTCATGTTGACAATAAGATCCTCTTGGTTTCCTAACTCGCTGTTTTTGAAGATTTGTTCCGCTGAACTAAACAGAAGTTTGGGACCTATTTGTTTATTCAAAGCTTTTAACAATCTTAATATGGCGATAAGTCTAAACTCGCAGTGAGCAAACAGTGGTAAGTGATAAAAGCTCTAATGAGAAATCCACTCAAAGGTACACAGCCGTCGCCTCGCCTCACCTCATAACTTGAGAAAACAAGATAATTGGAAGGTTAACAATATCATAATTTAATTTCAGACTCTACGTGATCCAGTTTTGGCTGTGTACGGGAGTTGACCCATGCAGCCAGAGTTTTCAGTATAGGGAATGTGTCTGATTTCTGCATGTTGTCGGTGGTCGTTCCATAATAGGGAGTTCTGTAACAAAATGGGTTTCCAGCAGCAGATGTACTTGGAATTGATAAGAGGTCTGCTTTCCTGTGATTGGAGGAGCCGCGGGAGGCAGTTGGGTGTTCGGAGCGATAGCAGAGACTCTAGTTGCAGCAGTATGAACTAGCTATAGGGATTCAGAAACCATTCGGCCAGCACAGTATTGCAGTAATCCAATCGAGAGGTTATTGGACATAATGGTTTCTCAATGTCATGCTCTACATCCAGGATCCTCCTCAAAAGTAATATTAGCAATCAGAAATGCATTTTTTTGACCTCCCAGGAGGAAGTCATCTATTTTAAGTCTAAACAGTCCAGTGCTATAAATTATATTTACATATGCAAATCTCTTTAAAACATGGTCTATTGGAAAATTATATTTTCTATAAAGAAACTCTATAACAAAAAAAAACATTGAAATTAATATGGACCATTCTTTTTTTTGTTTTGCATTGTGACATTTTTTATTATTTAAATTATCATAAATTAAAGGCAGTACGTGAAACTTTTCTGTACAAATACTACTTTACAGTGTCTCATTATAGTATGAGAATTTGATGGGGGAAATGCACTTATCATGAAAACAATATCACAAAGGATAATATATTAATGGTCCTTTTTTTAATGCTGAATTCTCATTTCCTTCTTTTGATTTTGGATGAATTATGACCTGGACATAATGTTTTTTTTTATATTCGTCCCATACCAGCTCCTTTAGTTGGATTAACTACCACTTGCGCTATGTGAAAGTGCGTACGACTTAGTTCAAGGGCACATGCATAGTAGATTGAAGGGCTGAATATTTTATATGTGAGGCTGTATGTAATCGCTGAGACTTTGTCAAACATTGACTGATGGAGGAGGGTCATTCCCTGCTTGATATATGCTATACAGACACATTAGAGGTTTGACACTGTTAATCTGATTTACTGGGAGTGTGATTGATTACCTCACATGCTGATTTTAAACGTTTTTTTTTCTTCTACATTTTGTGTGACAGTAACAAATGACCTTTATAGAAATACACCAGAGAATGACAGTCGGTCTAGCAGTGTTTGGGTGCTACTTTAAGACTGTATAATTTCCCACAGATTCATAAACAGATCTTCCTTTTTTTAAAAGTAGTCAACTAAGCTACTAACAAAAATAGAAACTACTTTGATGCTGTCTAAGGAGGCAAAATCCCATAGCTTCACTTTTTGCAAACAGAGCAATAGTTTTCTTGCTCAAAAACAGTGACTTATTTTGGGATACATTTACACTAAATGGGATTAGTAAAACCATTAAAAATGTGTCGTAAACATCAGCACTTCTCTGCAGGGTCTCCAGTGATTTGGTGGATTGTTTATTTGAACTTGACTATAAGTAACTTTGCAACTAAATGTCAACTAACTCTCAGTAGAGTATTAGTAGACTGTTAATATCTGCTAACAACCCTAACCCTACCAGTCTATAATGCTCTACTAACACTCAAATGAGAGTTAGTAGACATGTAGGTGCAACTTTACTTATAGTCAACAGAATGTGTTAAAGGGACCGTCAAAATAAAGTGAAACCCAAATTTCCATTTGAGTAGAACTTCCATTCTTTGTTCGTTCAGCCTTTGCGTTGGTATATTGGAAAGTAAAGCCCAAATGCTTGTCTCGTTCAATGCCTATACTGTTATTTTCAGATTGCATCTCTAAACACAACATTTCCTTAATGTCCTTAATGTCTCGGAGAATGATGCATTAACTCCTACAGCTAATTGCCTCAGTGAGGTTTTAATTCAGAAATGATTGTATTTGCTCTGTTTGTTTTTGACGTGCACCAGAGAACAATAGCAAAGCAGGGGGAGGTGAGGAGAGAGACAGCTGATGAATGAGAAACGAGAACAAATGGGTTTTGTACGAGCGCAAGGCCATGATCATCACAGCTGCATGTGTGGAAGCTCTCAACAATCAGACTCATGAGGCCTTCATCCCGGCTGCTGTCACTTCTTTGACTTCATCCAGGGACAGCGCACAAACATACCAATAAACAGCACAGCCTGTGATCTGACTCTTGATAATGTGGCGAAGCCAGATGCTTCCAGCGAGACAGTTTTTAGCTGTTGACTGATCTGTTGTCTTCTCTTTCAGCTGGACCGTACTGAGGTGATCAAGAGTAACCTGAATCCCGTCTTTGCTAAAGTCTTAATGCTGGACTACTACTTTGAGGAAGTACAGAAACTGCGCTTTGAAGTTTACGACATCCACGGAACCCACAGCATTGGAACGCGCGATGACGACTTCCTGGGTGGCGTGGAATGCACGCTTGGACAGGTGATGTCACTTTTCCTGTACATCTTATACACCAAGGGCCAGATTTACCAAACAGGGCAAATTAACGTGAGACCACAATCCGGTCCGGGTTAGTTCACCCAAAAATGAAAATTATGTCATTAATGACTCACCCTCATGTCGTCCCAAGCCCGTAAGACCTCCGTTCATCTTCGGAACACAGTTTAAGCAACATTTTAGATTTAGTCCGAGAGCTTTCTGTCCCTCCATTGTAAATGTATGTACGGTATACTGTCCTTGTCCAGAAAGGAAATAAAGACATCATCAAAGTAGTCTATGTGACATCAGTGGGTTAGTTAGAATGTTTTGAAGCATCGAAAATACATTTTGGTCCAAAAATAACAAAAACTACGACTTTATTCAGCATTGTATTGTCTTCCGGTTCAGTTGTGGATCCGCGTTCAGTGACGCCGCTGACGTAAGACGCTGCTGACGTGTGTCTGGTGCGTCCGTGTATTCGGGTTCAAATAAATATGGCTGGGCAAAAAAATGCAAGTCTTCCTCTGTGTGGAAATCCTTCGACATGTTTGCGAAGATTGTTTCGTTTCCAGCGTGCGTCTCCCTCAGACTGTAAACGAAGCTCGGGCGCACCAGATGACACGTCAGCAGCGTCTTACGTCAGCAGCGGCACTGAACGCGGATCCACAACAGAACCAGAACACACACACACACACCAGACACACGTCAGCAGCGTCTTACGTCAGCAGCGGCACTGAACGCGGATCCACAACAGAACCAGAATACACACACACACACACACACACCAGACACACGTCAGCAGCGTCTTACGTCAGCGGCGGCACTGAACGCGGATCCACAACAGAACCGGAAGACAATACAATGCTGCATAAAGTCGTAGTTTTTGTTATTTTTGGACCAAAATGTATTTTCGATGCTTCAAAACATTCTAACTAACCCACTGATGTCACATGGACTACTTTGATGAAGTCTTTATTTCCTTTCTGGACAAGGACAGTATACCGTACATACATTTTCAATGGAGGGACAGAAAGCTCTCGGACTGAATCTAAAATATCTTAAACTGTGTTCCGAAGATGAACGGAGGTCTTACGGGCTTGGGACGACATGAGGGTGAGTCATTAATGACATAATTTTCATTTTTGGGTGAACTAACCCTTTAAAAGTGCCATTGGGAGTTGGGAAGTTCTGCAGGTGATCTACAGGCAATCTGCATATGAAAGAACAAGCTGCCAACTAATTTCCATAACAGCAGAGGCAAGAGCAGCACAAATTAAAAATACCTTGGCAAACGATATTTTCAGATACAGTCTTCTTCTGAAATTCCAAATAAGTGATCACGAGTGGACAAAATTCTACAACAATCGCAGCTGTGTCTTTTTTTTAGCCGTTAAATATTTTTGCTTTTGAAAGGGAAACTCCTACAACTGCAAATGCAATATGGTCAACTGCAAAAATGACTGTCTACGCCTTTTCATGTTTTTCTTTTCCTTGTTTTTTTTTTCTCAGCGCATCTAGTAAATCCTGACTGTAGTTTTTAACTCCAAAAGCATTATTTAACTTCTAATTAATGGGTTTGGATATTTCTGGTAATCCTCACTGATGTTCATGTCTGAATGGGAGCAAATCCCTGCATCCATATTCCAACAACGAATGGAAGCCTTCTACAGAGTAAAAGCTGTAATAGCAGCAAAAGGAGGACCAACTCATTATAATTGACCTTGAATTTGAAATTAAGTGTTCAACAGACACCTTTTGGGGCTCAGTTGTCCTCAAACTTTTGTCCATGTAGTGTACAGTGCCATTCTCAACTATCTACTATTTTATAACTATTGATCTCCTTAAAGTCGTCATGAAATGCAAGTTTCCTTATTGTGATGTAAATCCGAGTGAAACGGCATCTCTAACAAGAGAAAAAAGTAGGGCGGGACATGATTTTGTCCATGGGGAATTGATTTGATGGTTGTGGTTTGCTATTGGTCGATCTCATGTGAGTGACAGGTTGCCCCGCCCTCGTGTCAGTAAACACGTCATCAGAGAAGAGATGTCGCTGCAAGAGCGAGGAGAAGTTATTTTGATTATACATTACGAGGGAATAAAAAAAATATATTGATGTGCATGGATAAATCATTTATAATAAATACTGCAATATTCCATTAAAAACAATAATTGTCCATTTTGATTTCATGGTGACTTAAAAACCTTTTAATCTGTTCCATAGATAGTGGCCCAAAAAAAGATGATGAAACCTCTGTTGCTGAAATATGGAAAATATGCTGGAAAATCCACTATAACAGTGAGTTGAAACAATCTACACACACAATTGATGTTTAATTGCTGCTGTTTACATTTACACATTCACTGAAAGAGCTCTCATGGTAGAAGTTTCATCGGGCTTTACTTAATTTTAGCATCCGCAAAGGCATTTTAATTTTCTGTACAGAATAACAACAACACAATTTGAGTTACTTTACTGGAAACACAAGACAGTCAGATAGCAGAGACTGTTTGCCAGACCAACCACTGTTTGGCAAAGGGTGTCTAAATCAATGTGTTCAATTAGACAAAATCAATCACTGTCTCTCTTTTAGTATTAGGTCTGTAAAGGCTTGTTCACATCATTGATAACTATAACGATAACTGTATTAGCGTCCACACTAACACATGATAATGCACGTGATAATCGTATATCAGCTGAAAAAAATCACTCTAAAAAATATCACAATTATATATTGTTGTTATCATTGTGGTGTGGACTTATAATTATCATCCTTGCTGTGAACAGACCTTAACTATGGGTGGGTTGTTGGCACCTACACTCACCCCTATACAAAAAACAGTTATGCATTGAGTTATCACTCAGAAGTGATATTCATCACTGTCTATAGGACCACCCTCTTTTTTTTTTGAAGTGCCAACTAAATGCCAAATCCTGCCCACGTTGCTCATCACTATACTCAGAGGATGACTGCACATTACAAAATGAGTGATTTTTTTCCTATTACTTCTGGAATGAAATGTCACTTTAAAATATTTCTTGATACAGTTGAGTGAAACCGCTAGTATGTGTGATGGCTGAGAGATAGATAATGGGGAATCTCTATAACACTGGTGCATTAAAAAGTCATCAGGTTTCAGGAATAAGGTCTAACCTGTGTAAGGTCTGTGTAGTTTGGGTTGCAGTGCGGGCGGTTTGACCACCAACTTAAATTCTGCCGGTGTACTGGAAGTAGACGGGCGCTAGACATTCTTACAATATCTGCTAACATGGTGTAAAATAATGTAGAATATAAATTTCAATATGTGAAAATAGTATTTCAATTACAACATCACAGCTAGTTCGACTCAATTCAAACAAGCCACACATGCAAAACAAATCACATTAAAAAAAGTGATGCCCCAAGCTTTTTTTTTGCATGTTTCTATTGCAGGCAGACAAGGTTCATTCGTAAGACAAAACGTAATACCACATCCTTATCATGGGTGTTGATTCTCTGCTTTCTCATCAGTTTTAATGCAGTTTCTCTGCAGACTAATGGCCTTTTCATGTTTAAACGACAAAGAAATGACTGTTTTTGCTGGACCTCCTCATTGGATTTCACTCGGGTTGTAGATTTTTTTTTTATGCTGACGAAACAAAATGGGATGGTTTCAGCATTTCACCCTCTATTTTCTTATCAAACAAACTAATAGAGGTCAAAGACAACTCAATTAATGGCTTCCTTAATCAGTACTGTTCACATTAAATTATGTAGTAAAACATTTCCAGAACACAGACTTTTGATCAAGTGCCTACAGTTTCTCTTCAGTTCATACTGTACTTACCTTTGTGAGTTTTTAGATGTTTAGACAGAAAGATCTGGGCTGGGCGGAAAAACAGACGGATGGGCTGGACAAAAGGACAGACAGAAAGAAGGATAGATGGGATGGGCGGATGGATGAATGGAAGGACAGATGGACGGATGGATAATTGGATGAATGGATCAGATGGGCTGAGCAGATGGATGGGAAAAGCAGTTGGTTGAATTGACAGACGGATTTGTTGATGGGATGGGTGGATGGATGGATGGTATCTATACATTTAAAAACTCACAAAGATAAGATGGATGGATGGATGGGTGTATGGATGGGTGGGTGGGTTTTTTGGATGGATGGTATCTATACATCTAAAAACTCACAAATATAAGATGGTTGGATGGATGGATGGATGGGTGTATGGATGGACGGATGGGTGGATGGAAGGACGGATGGGTGTATGGATGGACGGATGGGTGTATGGATGGACGGATGGGTGTATGGATGGACGGATGGGTGTATGGATGGACGGATGGGTGGACGGATGGATGGTATGGGTGTATAGATGGTATCTATACATCTAAAAACTCACAAAGATAAGATGGATGGATGGGTGTATGGACGGACGGATGGATGGATGGATGGACGGATGGATGGATGGATGGATGGATGGATGGATGGGTGTATGGATGGACGGATGGATGGATGGATGGACGGATGGGTGTATGGATGGACGGATGGGTGTATGGATGGACGGATGGGTGGATGGACGGATGGATGGATGGATGGATGGATGGACGGATGGGTGTATGGATGGACGGATGGGTGTATGGATGGACGGATGGGTGTATGGATGGACGGATGGGTGTATGGATGGACGGATGGGTGTATGGATGGACGGATGGACGGAAGGATGGACGGATGGATGGACGGATGGGTGTATGGATGGACGGATGGACGGAAGGATGGACGGATGGATGGATGGATGGACGGATGGGTGTATGGATGGATGGACGGATGGGTGTATGGATGGACGGATGGATGGATGGATGGACGGATGTGTGTATGGATGGACGGATGGGTGTATGGATGGATGGATGGACGGATGGGTGGACGGATGGATGGTATGGGTGTATAGATGGTATCTATACATCTAAAAACTCACAAAGATAAAATGGATGGATGGGTTTATGGATGGATGGATGAATGGATGAGTGGGTTGGTGGATGGATGGATGGTATGGGTGTCTAAAATGGAGGGTATCTAAAAACTCACAAAGATAAGATTAATGGATGGGTGGTGGGTGGGTCGGTAGATAGAGAGATGTTTATAAAGCACATATGGATGTGGAGTCTGTGTCCAAATATAGAGTACAAACAATAACAGTATGTTGGCTTTGTCTCAGCTAATCCCTTTCTTATTTCCCCAGATTCACGCAGAAGAGATTTCTGGGAACAATGGTTACTTGGAGCTTTCCTTCTGTGCCAAGAAGTTAGATGACAAGGTACGGAGGGATGTTTATCTTTTTCAAAAAAAAACCAAAAAACAGGTTGTCCAACTCACCAGAGTTTACACTCATTAAAGTAGACCTAGTGACAGTAAATGATATTCTTTGTTGGTAAAGCAGTAATTTTTTTACCTTTTGAAACCAATAATCGCAGCTGCCAAAGAACCTTTCAACTCACTTTTAATGTTTTGGATTGTCCATTTCACCCCTGTTAAGAGCCATTAGAGCTATTATGGCTTCATAAAATCCCACTCTCTCTTTTTGGCTTTGGCATAATGTTTGAAACCCTATTCATTCAGCTGAGGTTTCCTAATGAGAATGGAAGCTCTGTGAATAGCGAGGGCTGGCGGAGGGAGCGTAGGGTGGCTGGCTGACTCTCTCCCACACAGCTCGGCCCACGGTGCAGCTCTCTCCGTGCCCTGGAGTCCTGCAGGTGTCTGCACTTACACAAACGCCTCTGCAGCCCTCGTCCTACTCTCAGCACTCATCTCATCTGCTTCTCCTACTCTTTCCTCTTGTTTCTCCCGCCCTCCCTCTTCCTCTTTCGTATGCTGCTGTTCTCGTCCTCTTAGCCTGGGGCGACATTTGTGCTCAGCGGTTATCTCTAAAACAGCTTTTTTTTATGTTCATTCCTCAACCCTTTTTAAATCTGGCTTTCATGAATTCATACATCTCAAGTAATGAAAGGAAACAGCAAATCAATATCTATGACTTGTTCACTCAAGCTTCACATCCCCTCAACCCCACATTAGGTGGTGAAATCAATATATCGTCTATTCATCTTTTTACAGTGAGACAGAAATGCTATTTGGCATCTGTTTCATGACAAAAAGCACAGGCTGTGATTCTGATTGGAGACGCTTATACAGTAAGCCAAAGCACCCACGCAAACCATTGGCTGACTGTAATTTTGCCAACTAGGACGTGTTCCTGGATCAAAATCTTTTGCTGGTGCTGGAACACCATTCCTCTCTCCCTTTTAATTAGATGGATATGATTGGATGATCTGAATGGAAAGCCCTAAACTCTAACAATTCCTCTTTCACTATTCCAAAAAATGATGCACCTCTTGATGGAAATAATTGTTGTGATGTTATTTCCATCAAGAGCTGCATCAGTTTTTGGTCAAGAACTTATATTGACAATGCAAGAGTCCGGCACTCTGTAAAGTCTCCTCCAGCACTTCCCAAAGACTTTCAATGAATTTAAGGTCTGTGAAATTCATCTGTGAAAATGAATCTTCATGCTCCTCACAACCATTCTTTCACAGTTTGAGCCGAATGAATCTTGACATTGTCATCCTGAAATATGGCCATGATGAATGAATGAAAAGCTACACACTCCATCAATTATAGAGTTATAAGAACTGTTGCCAAACATATAACATGCTAGAAACATAATAATCACTGCAATAATGATCCAATCATAGACTCTAAAGTATTTGCCTATGTTTGTAACAATATAACTTGTAACCATAGTTGGCTAAAGAAGGTTTTAGGATAAGCACCCCTGGCAATTTCTACACCTAAAGCATCTGATTTGCACACAAAACAACAATCAATGCATGTGATCAATTGTCAATCTGTGTAAATACATTTATGCCATCTCTGGTTAAACGTATAGTATATCCACAGCTTCTATTCAGTGTGAAAACAGCTCTATACAAATGTATCCATAATATCATATCAAGTGGGGCCCTCTCCATCTATAATAATAATCCTCCATCTCTCAAATTGAAAAATGCACTAAACTAATCCAGCATGTCATCTCAAGTTTATTAAAGTAGGGTTTCTCTTGGTAAAATGCATATGCTGACGCAGTAAATCGTGTTTAGAATATGGAACCACATTCTTTGCACATTGCATATGCATGAAAGCAGAGGTTGCTACACGGTCACATCACTAATTTATTTCTGTACTAGCGACAAGCTTGTCCGCCTGCCCAACAGAACATTAACCAGGCTAATTCTGAAAGGCTAATGATGGCAAATTCCATAAGGCAATAAAATTGAATTCTAACTTTCATTTCAAGCTATCTCTGCAATCAGCCCCAACATATTCATCAGCTTACCACATTAATGCTCTTTTTCAGGGAGGGGGATTTTATTGTCCCCCCTCTTGTAATTGCTGTTCAAATTGCAGCGCGCTTTTTCACATTTTTACCCTCAGGTCTGTTAATTATTCCTCACTGGACTTCATGTACTTGTTTTACAATCATTAATATGGGAGTTCTGAATGTGTAGCATCGTTAATATTAGCTGTATTACATGAGCTGATCGGCGTTTCTTCTTCACAAAATCCAGAGTTGGCTCCATCCTGGCCCGGATATCATAGTGAGAGGATGGATGGAGTCTAATAAACGGCTAGGCAGAATAATAGCTGTGCTGCTATCTTTGGACAGGATCTGTCTGTTCAAATAACGTTGGCTTTCTCTGAATACAGACTGATATGATTTAAACAAAATGGACACATTGGCAAATCAAACTATATTGGACTTCATGACAGCTTCTGCACGTGACTCATTCTGGAGACGTCTGTGCCTTTATGTGAATGCCATTTTCTCTTTATGAAGAAGTCGCTAATGCATCTTGAATCGAAAAGTCGCTCTGGGTTATGTGACATTTATCAAAGACTCTTCAAATGGCAATTTCTCTGTGATTTTTTTAATGCTTAATTTGGCGCTGTACCTTCACATTGGGTTCTTTGCAGATATTAGCACATATTTTGTCTTTTTCAGGGGACATTGATAGCTCTATTTTTCACCGGATCATAAAAGACAAGCACGGAATTAACCTTTAATCTGTGCATTAAGCCATCTGTTAAAGGAAAATGCCGTTAAGGTTCTTGTCTCATTGGAGTCTGGGAGCCTTAAATGTCTTCCGGAAATAATGAGCAGCCGGTAATCATCATCGGTCCATAGTGAACTTTGCAAACGCAATGACATATTTCAGAGGTGCGATGCATTTGATGAATGCGAACAACAGACAAATCACTTGTCTAAATCAGTCTTCACTCAAACCACTGGCAAGATGTTACCTTGACAACCAGATAGTGGGGGCACCTCCTCTTTCAGCGTCCCTGTGGAGATGTCGCACACTAATGCAGCGAGAAATGGGGATATTAAATGGCTCGTTCTTTGCTCTACCCATTTCTCGCTCTCTCTCTCTCCCTTTATCTCTCTCTGCCTAGTTCTCTCTCTCACATCTGCACACACTTAGGAACAAAGTCCTCAGTGGCTTCTCCGGAGAGCCACAATTCAGAAACCTTATGTTGAATCATTGTTTCAGACAATATTGTTGATTTGATTTTCCACAGCTATGAGCACAATTGGCAGGAACACACATGGGCATGCACTCTGAAAAATAATATTGAAATATGCATTTTCCCCTGACCAATTATTCCATACCGAAAGTGTTATTGCACATTCACTTTACTAATTTGTAGTTAAAGTGAACTCAGAATTTCTTTTTGCAATCAATATGGAAATATACCCCTAAAACTTAACCAAATATAATCATAAATAGGGGTGTAACGGTACGCGTATTTGTCCCGAACCGTCACGGTACAGACTTCATGTCATGCATGCATACAGTCAGACAATGAATACAGTCAGTCACAGGCAATCCACACTCAAAAACAAGAGTTTAGTTGGCACGCAAGAGCTTGCTAGTAGTCTATATGCTGAGTTTCAATTCATTTTTGGAACGCGCTCCACAAACTTCATGGAAAGGAAACCAGGATGGCAGAAAGTGGCATCCTGATTATTTTCTTTATTTTACAAAAGCACAATGTTTTGTTTTTATTGTGAGTGTGCACAAGTAAAAATAGGCTCTTTACAGTTTCGAATGATGACCAACGTCAACCTGTAGTGAAATCTGTTTGGAGAAATATTTCAACCTCATAGAAATCCACACGATCGGGAATTTCCTGTATTTCTATTGAAATGACTGGGTTTTGCCCAAGAAAATGTGCAGAACAATGGTAACGGTGAAAATACCTTCAGAGTTAAATTTACAATCTTCAGGGGTAAAGGACCAGAATTACTAATAGCTAACCTTGTTCACAGGACCTTTCATCGCCTAAAATAGCGAGCATAGGTGTCAAGTTTTGGCAGGTTAGCATGGCTAAAACAGTTAGCATGGCCATAACTGCCAATGGGGCAAAAAGCATATTTTTTTCCTTTCAGCCAATCAAAAGTAGTCACGTGTTCGAAAAATATTTTTGTTTAAATATAAATGTAAAAAATTAGCATGATATTATCAGAAAAAAATGTGATGCCAGTGATTGTTTTTAGAGGGCTTTGAAAAGAATGACATGGTCATTGTCATCACAGCTAGTTTAGTCATGAAGTCATGTTCCAGATTGATAAGTTTTGTGACATTTATGGCTCAGAAAAATAAAAGTGCCCATGAGCTAAGATGACAAATTTCAAATTGCATACATCTGTGGTATCGGCGTCAGCCGAGCAACTAACATTAAGATGAATGTAAATGCTATAGCTTTTTCCACGTATTATGCTGTAGATCTTTTTGATGACGTCAAAACCCAGAAGATTAATTCGCCCCTGGTTCTCTCAAGATTTTCCTATGGGGTTTTATAATGTTTTTTTTTTTTTTTTTCAATTAATGAGTAAAAGCCTGTGGTAAACACAACTTAATGATACTTTGACTCTTTGTTCTGTAACATAAACCCCCATTATAAAACCCCATAGAAAATTGTCTAGGGAACCAGTAGCGAATCAGTCTTCCGTGGTTTGACTTCATCCCTTCACCACTCGATTGGCCTGTTAAAAAGTCCTTTTTTTCGTCCTCGCCCAACTTCCTGTTTCAGAAAATACATTAATTCAGAAAAGATTGCATTCATTAATCCATGGGGTCTTTTAGAAAACGTCCATTTCATGATGTGTTCCTTTGAATGCGTAGACTGTACTGAAATTATCTTGTGACTGTATAGGATCTCTTCAGCAAGTCAGATCCATTCTTGGAGATTTACCGGATCAATGATGATGGAACAGAACAGCTTGTGCACAGAACTGAAGTAAGTAGTTTCATCCCATCGGATAATAATCTTTCTTTTGCAATTCAATATTCCTATTTAGTTTATACAATGATATTGTTTTTCATCTGCAGGTGATTAAAAACAACTTGAACCCTGTGTGGGAATCCTTTAAGGTGTCTCTCATTTCTCTGTGCAGCTGTGATGACGAAAGGAAGTTAAAGGTGAATGTTAATGGAATAGGTCACTCCAGAATGGGCATTCTATCACCCATGTGGTTCCAAACCTTTGTGACTTACTTTCTTTTGTACAGCACAAAAAAAGATGTTTTGCAGAATGTCCAAGATGCTCTTTTACAATAAGCGCAGATTGTGATCAGTGGCCAAGTTCCAATTAGGACAAAAATAAAAGCACTATCAAAGTTGTCCTTGCTACCCCTGCTCTAATTTAATTGCACATCAATAAAGACAGTTAGGAACAGATCTGAAAATCTTCCCAAGTCTGGACGTGCAAGAGTCAATGGGGTTTGACAGAGTTATGGCAGAGGACATTGAATTTGTTGATTACATTCATTACAGTCTTGGGAAATGCATGGACTACCTTTGTGGTGAATTTATAGTGTTTTTTCATCATTTTGTTTGATTGACCAGTCTACATCTGTTGTAAGACAGAATCTTGGACATTTTGCTATATAACTATTTTGGTGTGGGTTAGTTCACCCAAAAAATGAACCCATTAGTTGCTCACCCTCATGTCATTCCAAACCTGTAAGATTTTCTTTCACCTTCAGAACACAAATGAAGATCTTTTTGATGAAATCTAAGAGATTTCTGTCACTTTGAAGCTTCAAAGAGATCATAAAGAGACAATGATATTTATGTCCGCTGATCAATGTTTATATGTGATTAAAAGCCTAAATTAAATCTGTTCAAAATGTAAAGCGATCGAGTCTCCTCAGAAAATTTTGACTAAACCGCTCAATTCATATGGATTAGTTTTATGATCTCTTTTTGAACTTTTTGAAGCGTCAAAGTGGTAGTTGTGCAGCTGTCAATGGAGGGACAGAAAGCTCTCAGATTTCATCAAAAAGATCTTCATTTGTGTTCCGAAGATGAACGAAAGTCTTAGGGGTTTGGAAAGACATGAGGGTGAGAGAAATTGAATGCGTAGACTGTACTGACATTATCTTGTAACTGTATAGGATCTCTCAAATGAAAATCAAAATGAAACATGGAAACATAAGAGACACATGAGTTAATGAGTTGTAATTGTCTGTGAACTGCAGTGCTTAGTCTGGGACTATGACTCGAGGGGAAAGCATGACTTCATTGGTGAATTCTACACTAATTTCAAAGAAATGCAGAAGATTTCCTCAGGAAACAAGGTCAGTGTGAGACCTTCAGCCATACATTGGTGTTTGAAATCGGTCATTAGCATAAGAAAAGTCACAGCCCTTCTGCATGCGTGGTTAAAGTGACTTCGCTGCAGTGCCACCTTCAATTTTCATCTCACCTCTTTGATCTCTTCCTGTGTTCCTGAAGGTCACGTGGGAGTGCATCAATCCAAAATACAAACTGAAGAAGAAGAACTACAAGAACTCTGGGTTGGTGATTCTCAGCGATCTCAAGGTAAGAGCCTGGCAGTTTGTGCGCACGCAGAGAGAGCTTTATAGATATGCCCGTCCTGTTTTAGGAATGCTAGTACTGCACAATGCTGGCCAACAAGCTGTCAATGAATAGACATAGTTATTATTGTTGTGGGTGGGTGTGACAATCAAGCTTAGCCTAAAGACATTAGCGTGGTGGGAAAAGGCCAATGCATTCGTCTGGTTTGTGCACATTTACATAGGGGAGATTTCTATTTATAGAGCTGTTTACGTCAGTTTTTTTCATCCTTTTCACATTTTTCAATTCAGATTGAGAATTGTGTTCTTTTTGTGTTTTTTAATAACAGAAAAAGTAATATTTTGGCAAATTCAATGGCACTTTCACACCAAAAGTGAAATGAATAAGCCTCAGGCTAAGTAAATGCAAATTCACGCCTGTATAGCAGTTCAAACAAACCTTTCAGCTGTGCTGCCATTCTGGATTGTACAGAAGAATAGGATATAGAAGAAGATAGTTCAACTACAACCCCAAAAACCATCATGTTTAGACAGCCACACAACTCCTGCCTTTCTCTCCATTTCTCTCAACATTGGGACTGGAGAGCTGTCAGTCTGTAATTGGGAAAACATACTTATTTAAAAAAGTAACACAGATATTTTGTTGTAGATTTAAACTAGTTACTAGTTACTTGAAAAAAGTAATCTGATTACGTAACTTGTATGCGTTACTTGTAATGCGTTACTCCAACACCGGGTATAACCATTCAACAACTATTGTGTCTGTGGTGCTACGATGGTACAGTAACGGTATAATGCCATTTTGTATAATATTTTCATGGTGTCCCAACCATTTTTTTGGACACCATATGTTTTGTACTCTTTATGTGAGTTGCTTCATAGCTCATGTACAGTACATGTGTGTGTTTGGTATGTAGTATCAGTATCAGTATCATAACTTTTGCAGATAGTCTTGCAGATAAATGTGGCAGGGTTTTCTACTCACCCTCCATTCTTCATTTTGCAGCTTCACAGAGTCTATTCCTTCCTGGACTACATCATGGGAGGCTGCCAAATACACTTCACAGTAAGTGGGAACAGCAGTGCGCTCCACATTTAGCACAGCGGTGCGATCCAGACCCTTCACAGATTTACTGCCCAAGTTCTCCACCAAGCATGAAGACACTGATGCCAGACGTGCTGGACTGATAACTGCCTCCTCGCAGCAAATGCAGCTCATTTATACATGATGTTGTGAGGCAGACTGCAAAACGTAAAGTTCTTGATTATAGTTGCCAGTAAAAATAGCTAATAATTCTTAAAACCAGATCAGAATACGTTATTTAATCCCTATTCACGTTTGTCAACCAGCTTCTCTTGAGTTTTATTTTAAGTAAGAATGTGATTGTTTCACGGCTGGAGGCAACAAAACAAATTAATACCTCATCCAAACTGTTTTAAGTCCCACACCTCATGCTCCCTTTTAGAGCAGCAAAATGGGCCAAGATTATTAATGAATCCAATTGAATATTCATTATTTAAATATCTGAATTCTCCCGTTGCCTGTTAAAATGAAAGATAACCCGATGTCAACCCTCAGAGTGAATGGTTGGAGTCAATGTTTTGGAGCAGGATTCAAATAGGATCTTCATTTAAGTGTAGTGCACTGGTTTAATATAATATATCGAGTAGGGTGCATCAAAAAACACAATTCTTGAATTTTGATATGGCTGGGTGCTAAAAGTGTTCCAATATATGTAGAAACAACAAATGCAAAATATTTTTCCAGTACATGATGATTTAGGGGTGCCACCGTACATCTGTTTTTGTTGGATAAAGTGGTTAACAGTGCTCAATGGTCGCCATTGAGATCTGAGGTAAACAATACTACAGCTCAAGAAATCTGAGGTGATCTTTCTGTTTGAGGTGATCTTTCTGTGTTTGGTATGTATTATTACATATTACTATCATATCTTGAATTGTATCTTTGTATACTTATTTATCATAAGTCATTTAAGTCATATTTATAGGTATTTGGTGCTCATTACATTTAGCTAACGTTAGCTAGCAACAGTTTGCTAACCACAGTTAGCTATCTATGTTAGCTAAGCTATTAAGCTTAACATCAACAGTAGTCTAGAGTGGACAATGTCATATTCACAGTATAGATGACTCATGTTTATTGAGAGTAGCATTGTAGTTGGTGGTAGACTTAGTCAATGCTAACACCAAGCTGCGGAAAATCGCCCAGGCCAATCGCTCCAGTGAGACTACAGCGAAACAATTGGAGAAAATGGAGTGCAGACTTGATGCCACATTTCCGCTGTGGCCTCCAAATGTTGAAAAGCTGATTGATAACCCAGAAGACCTAGCTTTCTTGGCCAGCATGAAGAATGAAAGAGTGGCCACATTTGGGGTCGGTTTCACAAAGCTATTTTAGACCGGTCTATAGTGTTAGACAAGTCTAAAATTTGCTCATAGACTAGTCTAATGCAAGTTAGACTGTTTCACAAAAATAAAGACTGACTTAATTTAGACCAAAAAAATTAGACGCCTTCCCCCCCAGGCTAACTTAGGTCTAAGACTCTGTTACCTTGGCAACCAACAGTAACAATCAGTTACATTACAAACAGCCAAAAGCAAAGGGAAAATGGCCCTTTCCAAATTAAACATTTCTTCTTGTTACTACATTCTCCGCTAAATTTCCCAAGTAAAATGTCCTTGTAACTGTTATCTCTGCATCTTACGCAAATGCTGACTGAGCAAGACGCCAAGTGCTGGAGACAATCAGTGAGGAACAGCACAAGCAGTGGACACCACCTCCATTGTGCACCCTACACTGGGACAGCAAGTTAAAGGGATACTCCACTTTTTTTGGAAATAGGCTCATTTTACAACTCCCCCAGAGTTAAACTGTTGAGTTTTACCGGTTTTGAATCCATTCAGCCGATCTCCGGTTCTGGCGGTACCACTTTTAGCATAGCTTAGTATACATCATTGGAGTGGACAAGACCATTAGCATTTCTAAAAAAAAAATGACCAAAGAGTTATGATATTTTTCCTATTTAAAACTTGACTCTTCTGTAGTTACATCGTGCACTAAGACCGACGGAAAATGTAAAGTTGCGATTTTCTAGGCTGATATGGCTAGGAACTATACTCTCATTCCTGCGTAATAATCAAAAAACTTCACTGCAGTACCATGAGAGCAGCAGGCGTAATGATATGACGCAGCGCCTGAAAATAGTTCCGTTGTGTTGACGGAAGGTGGCCTATTTTCAGGTGCTGCTCATGGTACGGCAGTGAAGTTTCTCGATTATTACGCAGGAATGAGAGTATAGTTCCTAGCCATATCAGCCTAGAAAATCGCAACTTTACATTTTCCGTCGGTCTTAGTGCACGATGTAACTACAGAAGAGTCAAGTTTTAAATAGGAAAAATATCGAAACTCTTTGGTCATTTTTTTTTAGAAATGCTAATGGTCTTGTCCACTCCAATGACGTATGCTAAGCTATGCTAAAAGTGGTACCGCCAGAACCGGAGATCGGCTGAATGGATTCAAAAACGGTAGAACTGAACAGTTTAACTCTGGGGGAGTTGTAAAATGAGCCTATTTCCAAAAAAAGTGGAGTATCCCTTTAACACAGATGCTCAGGAATGTGCGCCAGTTGGAGGTGCGTTTTACAGTAGTGGTTGGAGATACAGAGGGGCTGAAACTGCTTGGTGTCCCAGCGTATAAGAAGCAGACCAATGAGGCATGTGGAATGATCATTGCCCGGTTGACATGCAAGTTGCTGCAGGACTGGTGCTGCACTGACCAGGTTGTCAACATGGCATTTGACACAACATGGCATTTGACACCACTGCGTCAAACGCCGGCCATCTCACAGCAGCCTGCATTGCCATACACAGCTCTCACTGGGTCGACCACTGCTTTGGTCTGGGTGCCGGCACCACATTGGTGAGGTCCTCCTGAACCAGGTTTTCACAGTGAGGTCAATGTACGTGCAATGAACGTGGTCAATGACTGTGTCCTGATCGTGGCGTCAAGCTCACATCCGACTTCGTCACAGTGTCAAGGAAGGAGCAGAATGTGAAGGAAAGAATGTGCTGCAGGCAGTTGAACATGACCGCAACATACAGCCAAACCTTCCCCACTGCAAACGCAAGCCAATCCCTAGCCAATCCCTGAATAGGACGGTTACTCTTGGGTGGCGGGTGGGGAGACATATCTGGGGGAGACGCACTGGTTAGGTTCAGAGTTCAGGTTCCATTTCCTCTCTCTTTGTCCCTGGTGATGTTGCTCAGTGGAGCAGACTCTGGCACAGACTGAGCAATTAAGTTTAAAATTTAGTTAGTGTCAGCTCTTACCATTAGGCCCTGTTAGTTGCCAGTGAGTTAGCCACTAGACATCTATCCGACATCCATCCATGCTGCACAAAATTCAGGGTAAGGCCACATGAACATGTCCCATTGACCTCCATTCATTTTGTCTATAGGACAAATAAATGGAGAATCTTGAAAGTTGAATTCTGAGAAATGCCCAAGTTGCCCAAATGGCAAACAAACAACTTTTACTTTTATAACCCTATAGAATATGTTACTGTATAAAAGTTCACTGTACTCAACATTCCGATGTCAACCTTTTGGCAATTAGACTAAAAATTGATATTTCGCCAAAGTTCATGTGTTAGGTGGGACCCCTAAATCTCAATTGAATTCCTTAAAACTTAGCAAAAGTCATTTTTATGTTAATTGGAACAAAATGCAATGCCAGCCAAATTGATATTTTGAAATTAAAATTTCCCATTTAAATTTGATACACCCTAATATCGAGTGTTTACTGGGATATGAGCTGTATCTCTGTATTACAGAGCATATGGTAGCCGTTTGTGCTATTTTGGATTATAACATCTGCTTGATGAATGACTATACAATCAGCATGCCTCTAAGCAAATAAAATCTACATATTGTCCATTTTAAGCACTTTAATTATTTATACAGATGGGCATTTGATTGCAGATCTGTTCAAGTCAGGTTTTGTGTAGCTTCCTAGGAAAGACAGCTCTTGAGTGCTTGACTTTTTGTAGACAGACATTTCCTTTCAATTTTCTACAATGGAGACAACTATTGTTCCAGGCGCAAAACTAAAACGATTAAACGTATTTGACGATCGATCAGATTATGTAACCCATTACATTTTTGCCGTGCATTTTGCAGTTTCATCAGGAGTGTGTCATACTATTATCTCTCTAGGTTGCCATTGACTTCACGGCGTCCAATGGGGACCCTCGCAATAGCTGTTCCCTGCACTACATCAACCCATATCAGCCAAACGAGTATCTGAAAGCTTTGATAGCCGTGGGAGAGATCTGCCAGGATTACGACAGGTTAGTGCTGATGCAGGTGGACACTATCATGCATGTTTGCAATTTTTAATATCTGGAATTTAGTGCATGTAGAATGTCTCTGAAAGGTAGTGACTAAAGCTCAAATGTAGAGTCCACAACTTTTTGGACTTTGTCACTTCTGAGTCTTCGTAATATTTCTTCAAAAGGATTTGCTCGGCCTCTGACTATCCTTTTTGGGTGATGGGCACTTGGTAATTCTAACCAATATCCATATAGCTGTGTAATATAGCTGTTTGTCCATGTAAACAATCTGCAAAGTGACAAAGCACAAAGTCCATGCCAAAGGGAGTTCATCTCTCCTACATAAAACACCTTCCTGAATGCCTTGTTTGTAGTCTTGCCATTATTTCTGTGACATTTACATAATGCTCACCTACTGGCTGCTGTGGCCCACTGTCAGTAAGTAATTTTGATTTGGCGAGGAGACACTGTTTTTTTTTTTTTGCTGCGATGGTCAAAAAAACATTGTATGGACTTCCAATGTTACCACAGATATGACACAGTTTACAGCTGCTCATGAAGCTTCGGGAGATGAAACCATATTATGGTACATTTCTGACACACACTCTAAGCGGTTGAACAACAACGAGAATGCATCAGCTGACCAATCAGATCAGGCCAAATGTTTCAGGCAGAAGGTGAAAAGAGGTGCTGCAACAATTTATTCTAGTAGATCCCAAAGTTATGAACTTGATTATTATATGCGCACTTTAATATAATGATGTACAGCAGTAGTAGCCAAAGTTGAACAACAAAAGGAAGTGTTACAATTTGAACACACCAGGATGCTCTGCAGGAAGAACTTGACCTTTAGCCCCCTCTTCATGTTTAAAACGCCCCTTCAAAAGTGTGTGCCGGCAGTGTTTCAGGAAGAGAGCACTGCTCCTCAGCCGACTCGCATTCAGGTTTGGAATGCCCACTTTTCATGACCCAATGATCACAGCAGAAAAAAACAAGTCCAAGGATAGATTATGGACCAGGCCAATGGGGCCAGTGCCTTAGAGTCTCTGACTATCAGAGGCCTCAAACTGAGAGAATCCTAACAACAACAACAACATGCCACTACAGATGTAAAATTAACATAGAAACATATAGAACAATTCCTGAATGTGTGCCGCTGACTGGTGGCACAGTATGACATTTTTTTCCTGGCACCTTGAAAGCACTTACAGAGTCTTTTGAACAACTTTATCGCAGCTGTAATGTTTTGAGTTTTGAACACTGGCTGGTTATATATTTTCTCAAATATATGTTTTGGATAATTTTTAACCCAAAAAAAGCTACGGACTGCAGCTTTAAAAGAGTTGGTTCCACCCAACCTTTTTCAAATTAAATATTCTGTTTATATAAAAAAAAATTGTCACAGTACAGAAGCAAATTGGGTTGTGAATACATCTTTATGTTGACACTTAATTTAAAATGCATGAATAACCCAGTTGGATGTTTGTTACTAAGTTAAATGGCTTAAATAACAAAGACCTTGGAACAATACTAGGGGGATCGGTTTAGTAAGCTTGCCTGTATGGCTGTTTGCTGACTTTGATGCATTGTTGGTTAGCTCAGGTCACTATTTAATTTGTTCCTGCCTGGTAGTTCACTTAATGCCCAGTGAAGATGTCAGGGGTCTGTCCAATCCAATGACTGAGGCTGAGTTCTTCCTCTGGGCTACATCCTAAGAACCCATGTCTCCGCAGATCCTGCCAGCAACTCGTCTATGTCTGCAGTCAGTGGCTTATTAAACAACTGTGCTTGTGGAACCCTAGTGTGCGAGACAATTGGAAGAAATCTGAACTGACTAATCAGCCAAACAGAATTTCCATTTATTATTTGGTCTTTATTTATTCAAACTGATAATTAAAGCATTGTGTGTGGGTGGTTAATATAGTTGGTGCATTTTCTCTAATTGTGCAATGTTGCAATTTTCACCTTCCCCTTTTCCTGCCTGATTCACTGAAACTGTGCATTAGTGTGTTTATTTCCCGGAAAGGCGTTCACTGTTTATCTTTTAAACAGCCGTATCACATGATCATTTATTATGTTCCTGTTTAATCCAATGGTAGTTCTGGACTCACAATGACTAAATCAATATTTGCTTAAGTTGTTGTGGGTTTACTACAATTAGCCTTATAGGAGCTGGTTAATTACAGTCATACACATTTATAATGAGATCTGTTCCAAAGGGAGGATTCTCTCCTCAGATCAAAGCCAAATGAGTTATAAACAGATATATCCCCCTAATGGACAAAAGAGAGGAGGCATTATGCTTAATGAAAAAGCTTAACATATGAGGGTGTTTTTTCAGCTTTGGCAACGTTTAGCCCTGTGGACCATTTTACTACAAACAATGTCCAACAGTGTATATATATATGCATCACAAGAGAATCAATGCAATTCTCTTACATTATTGCAACTAACCTACATCAAACCCTAATACTAACCCGAACCCCATAGTACATGTGGTTAATTAATATTACTCAATACTTAAATGTATAATTACAGTGTTACAAGGACACCTTAAAATAAAGTGTGACCGAAATTTCAACCGAGCTTGCTTGACAAATGAGAACAAACCAAACACGTTTGAGCTTCCGTTATCAAATTTGCTGTTCTTTATGTGTGTTGATCAATGTTTATATATTTACATCTGAATAATAGCAACCATAGAAACCGTTATAAGATAAGATCTGGATTAAACTCTTCGATTCACATGGATTACTTTTTGTACTTTGTTTGTGTGGACTTTCAGTGGATGGACAAAAAGGATGAGGGAATATTAAACGTATGTTCCGAAGATGAACAGAAGGTTTAATGGTTTTGGAATGACATGAGTGTTAGTAAATGATGACATAATTTACATTTTTGTGTGAACTGTATTTGCTGAAGGATGTTTAAAAGATCTCCTGGGTCGTACACCTACGCTGTGTGGGTTCCCTGATCAGGCTGAAAGTTACTCATCATTACACATCAGTTGACCACTTGAAGTTAAAAACAGGATGGATGTGATAATGCTAGTGGGATAGTGCGTGCTTTGTTTGTCCCCCCCTTCTACAAGAAGTAGAATTTGACTCCCATGAACTACCTATTATCTTAAAGTCAGCATGAAACGGAAATTGCAATAGTCTTGTCATCCCTATTCTGACGTATATCAGAGTGAAACAGCGTCTCGAACAAGAAAAAATGTAGGGCGGGACTTGATTTTGTCCATGTGGAATTGATTGGATGGTTGTGGTTTTCTATTGGTCAATCTCATGTGAGTGACAGGTTGCCCCGCCTTTGTGCCAGTAAACACGTCATCAGAGAAGAGAAGAGATGTTGCTGCAAGAGGAGAAGAAGTAATTTTGATTGAAGATTATTAGGGCACATGACTTGATTTTAACTTCATGGTGACTTTAACTGATCTATATAACTGTCATTAAATACAAGCGAGGACATACAGTAACGGTGAGATACTTTACATTCTTCAATAAGAATTGTCCTTCGCAAACAATTTTACTTGATAAACCAGCCTGGTCTCATTGTTTATACGTAGATACTCACACATGACGTCATGAGTATTCGTACGTATTTTACATAAAGTTTGGTTCTACCACACATACATTTACTTACGTTTATAGGCACTAAAGCGTACCATATTGATGTATTGAGTCATGCATAAACATGAACAATTTTACTGATGTACAGATGCATACTGAAATGGAGCTTTTATGCGAGTTTGCTAAAACATTGCCTAAATATGAGCAGCCAGCGATGTCAGCTATTTTTTTTCTTTGCAATAACATGCATTGTTGAATCGTTCACAAAAAGTAGCCTATATAAGGACTGTGCAAAAGTAATTTATTTAACGTATAAAAATATTTCCATTAATTATTTTGTCTTATTTCATGTGTGGATAAAGACTTTTTGCAGCTCTTATAGAAATGCTTGTGGAAATCTTTTTCTCTTCACGTTCCTATAACTGCAGCTGCGTTATACACATTGCTTTGGGGGAATATTCATCCCACTGCTTTTGGTGGTGAAAATAAGAGGATATTGATTTCATTTTGCCTGCTTAATGCATCGTCTTGGTGGGCAGAGAAAATGGCAGAGAGAGAATTTACAAAATGGCTGTTTCCTGAAATACACTGCCTTCCACATGTGGTACAGCTGTGTCAGATAATACCTAAAACAAAAGTAACCATTGAGACCTAATCATATACTAATTAAGACTTTATAATTGAAATTTGCATTTGAGATTCTTTGCAATAATTGTCTAAAAAAACTTTGGCAGCATGACTCACTCAGAGGTATAAAAAAAAAACAGTTAACACAGCTCAACATGGTACTGGTGCATATATTGTTGCAGTTGCTCACATTGTCAGAGCCAACGTGACTTTGGCAAGCAGCGTCATGACTAATTTCACTTTGTTGCTGCTGTATAGCTCCCTGCTGGTTGTCCTTTGGGCTTTTATTAAAAGCAGGATTAGTCCTTTTACAAAAGTGTGTCCATGCTTCTGGTTTGAGACTGGACGGTGGTGGCAGTCTGACTGTCCTCATCAGATTCTGCTGGATATGTGCGGATGTGATCTCTCAGGGGAGCCTTGAAAAAAGTGCTGAGGAAAATAAAAAATACCATTTTCTCCTAGTGTACCGACTTGAGAGAGAGAGCAAGGAAAGCTCTTGCTTTGGTAATTGTTCAGCTTTTAGAACCACTTGTGCCTCTGTGGACAGCATGATGGATGTTCTCCAACTGACATGCCTGAAATACACTGCAACAACAGTGCTTGATATTTATGTTGGTGCATCCTAGTCGTGCTCAAAAGTTTACAGAATCTGCTAAATGTTCATTATAAAAAAAAAAAAAAAAAAGAGGGATCATACAAAATGCATGTTATTCTTTATTTAGTACTGTCCTGAATAAGATATTTTACATAAAAGACGTTTACATATAGTCCACAAGACAAAAAAGTATTTGGATGAAATAGGATGAAAACTTTTTGAAT